CTTTATATTGCTTAATTATTGAATAATTAAATTAATCAAATAGGTCAATAATTATTTTAAACATTACTAAATTATTTAATTTAATGAAATAATACTTTTATTAAAACAGGCAGTTGATGCCTCCACCAGCTTTTCCAGTGACCGGAATGAAAACCGAATCCGAAGAAAGAAATGGATCGGGGTCCTTATTGAGCAACCACGGTGAGCACAATGGACAAAACAAATTCATATGCAAAAGCAAGCTTGACTTGCAAGGTACTGATATAATGCTGACTTTGGCAAATACTGAAATGCCCAGTCAATTCTGGGCTGTCCTTGGGATTGCAATTCTAAGTGAGAAGATGGGCATGTTCCACTGGCTTTAAACCATGCATTTCTTACATGAGATACCTAGTTTCTGAGAGCTAAGGTAAATATTTAAGTGAGTGATAGAAAAACCTTGGGAACTGTGATATGTGTAACTCCTAATTTGAAAGAAAGAGGAAGGCCTCTTTTTTTTTTTTTTTTTTTTTTTAATTTTGATAATCCGCCCAGGCACAGCTGATAAGAAATTGCTCTGTAACACTGGTATATCATATAGTTTTACATTCCCATCAGGCTCAAATTGTATAGCTGTGTATATTAAGACAATCACTAACGTAAGCCATGTGTCTAGTAGACATTCTCCCAAAGTGGTCCACAACTAACAGAAATCCTTAGTGGATTCCATCTTTTCATAGGATTCTGTAGCATCAAATATTCGCTACTTGAGAGAACATTTTAAATCCTTGTTCTTGTAAGTGCCCTGAAAGTTGCACATTTCCTTGTATCCAAGAGCTGCAGACACAGTATATTAGTTTAACCTCAGTTTTTCCCCAATATTGATGCCAGAGTTTGCCATTGTATTAGACTTCTTATGATTAAATTTGGACTTTTCTTTACATATTTATCTCTTAACGGTGAAATTGCTGTCACTTAAACTCATTTGCTAACTTTACCTTTCTTTTGTGTTTCTTTTTTCTTTCTCTGCTCTCTTACATGGTTCTGATGGATCACATGTGCTGTTGCTGGTGCTGTCTCGTGTGACATCCGACCTTGGGTGACCACTGACCCTGTGACCTCAAAATGGCGTCCAACTAACAATTTATAATTAACGTCTTTTTTTTATTTATTAACTTGTTTGGGGTATTTTTATCTTTTTCTTCCTTCTCGGGGGGGGTGGGGGGGGGATGTTTTTTTTCCCTCTAGATCATCCAGCTAAGAAGATGAAAACAGCTGAAAAGGGGTTTGGATTGGTGTCTTATACTGGAGATTCATCAGATGAAGAAGAGGAACATGGTGGCCATAAAAATGCAAGTACTTTTTCACAGGCATGGAGTTTGGGATACCAGTATCCTTCCTCACAACAGCGAGCTAAACAACAGATGCCATTTTGGATGGCACCATAGAAGCTACAGAACAGTTTTTGTACCCTCAGTTACACCTTTTTTTCCTCTAGCAATAATGCATGTATATTACAAAACGAACTTTGCAAATGTACATTATTCTTACCTTTGCAGAAGCTGCTAAAGGTGCACTATTCCCTTTTGAAAGGGGTTCTATTATATTTTTACAATCCATATTTCTGCAGTGAATTTGTCATCTATGAAAAGTTATTTGAAATCACAAACTCAGTGCAGCACGGACTTTTTATACAGTGAGGGAATGTGCTCACAGAACAAGAACAGGGAGGTATGTCGCTCCCCCTGCATTTTCCACTTGCCCTGGATAGCTTGAGAAATGGAGACAGACAGCCAGGCTGACTTAAATACAGATTTTGTGTGTTTATTTTAAGTAATTTTCCTTTTGTCAACTTGTGTTGGTCAGTGGTGACAACAGATGTCCTCAATGTTTGGACTTTCACTGGAGAAAGGAAAATCTATGCATTACACGATTAATTTTTAAGATCATGTTTCCTTAAATTGCTAATTTTATTTATTTTAAGCTGCTCCCATGTGTGTTTCTTACCCCCCTTACCCTGCTTAATTCCAAAATGCAATTTCAGTAACTCAAAATAACTTTTGGTTCTAGGCAGATTTCTTGGGGTTGGGGGGGGAATATAGGTTTTCCCCATTTTCTATTTTGGATGGATTTGGCTTGCTACTAATACTTCGAAATACTTGGTATATCAGTGGTATGTACACTCTAACCTTCTTCAGCTGGTCCAGGTGATACTACTTGTCATGAAGGTGTCAGTCTGTTAATTTCTGTCTGATTCCACCAGTTTTGTTTTATGACTGTTTAACAAAGTAATATAGCATCCTGGTTTGTGTATCTCCAAAGACCTGATTGCAAGCACTGCTATTACACTGAAGCACAGAAGTGAAACCTCTGAATAAATTGTGGATTGTTTACAGTGACTGGAACTGCAAAGGGGCCTTTCTTATCATGGCAAGCTGTTGCCAAAAGATTACTCTTTTGTATTGATAACATTGATGTGTGAATCCACTAATGTGTGGTGGGACACAATGTAAATGGAGGTGCGGGTCTGCATTTGAAACATGAGTAATAGTTTGAAGTATTGTAATAAGTGTAACTTTTACACATTTTGACTACCTTGCAGGCTGGCTGGCTTTGTATAAACTTATTCTCTGGTTTCCTACATGTTGTAAATAATTATAGAAACATAATTTCCTTATAAATAAATGTACAAATATTCCTTTTGCTTCCATCTTTTTTCTTCAGCTCTGTCAGATAACTTTCTTGGGTACAGCACATGCACCTGGGGCTGGAATGGTGACCACCTCTGTCTAGCCCTTAACTTGGTGTTTTAACAGACACAGACTTCGGTGAAATAGTGTTACTCACTAAGAAAAGCTTTTAAAAAGGTTTTAAAACCTTATTAACCGTTTTTAATGGGACACAACTTGAAAATCACTCTTCTATCTGAAAATATTGTACCTTTTTATTGTTACAGGTAGCTAAGACTACCATAACTGGACATTAGCAGTAGCTTATTTTTTTCCATTTGACAGAACTTTGTGCGTTGTCAGTGCAAAGGAGCAGAAAAACAATGGGACATACATAGCACCTTTTAAAATAGTATCAGAAAATGGATATTTTTAAACCAGTTGAACCATTTAGTTTTGCTCATTTGTAGTAGCAGGCAATCTAGAAACAAATTTAAAAGAAATTCTCCACTTAAATTTGGTCTATGATTAAAAAAAATAGAAGTTTTTGTTCTGTTCTATTTAGGTTCTTTTGCTACCCTCAACACTGCAATATCTGAACCCCCTTTGGTAGTGCATTAAGCAAGGTGACTAACTTCTGTCATGTAATTTTTCTTCTCTCTCATATCCTCTGTACAAGGGCAGAATTGTGTATGCAGTGTAGTGCTTTGGTTTGGCAGGACTTTTATTATTGGGTTTGATTTTATATATATATATAATATATATATAATTAAAAATTTCTGTAGCATCAGAATTTTTTATATATATATAAAATATACTTGCTTGGCCTCTCTCTTTGTCTCAGAGAGAACACACACAAAGAGACAAAGCAAAAACCTTTCTGTAAGTTAGCTGTATGTTTATGACACTGTAATCTAGCTCCTACTGAATAATTACTATTTCTGTAAATTAGATGCATCATTCAGTAGGAGCTAGATTAGTGTCATAAACATACAGCTAAAGGTAGCATAAAATCCCTCCTTTACCTGTAAAGGGTTAAGAAGCTCAGATAACCTGGTTGGCACCTGAGCAAAAAGACCAATAAGGAGAGAAGATACTTTCAAATCTGTGGGGGGAACATTTTTGCTTTGTCTCTTTGTGTGTGTTCTCTCTGAGACAGAGAGGCCAAGCAAGTAATCTAGCTCCTACTGAATAATACATCTAATTTACAGAAATAGTAAGTAATAGCAAGGAAATGCATTAGAGTATCTTTTTGTTTTAGCTTGTGAATTTTCCCTGTGCTAAGAGGAAGGTTTATCCCTGTTTTTTGTAACTTTAAAGTTTTGCCAAGAGGGGGATCCTCTGTGTTTGAATTTTATTACCCTGTAAAATTACCTTCCATCCTGATTTTACAGAGGTGTTTCTTCATCTTTTTTCTTTATAATGAAGTTCTGTTTTTTTAAGAATCTGATTGGTTTTTAGTGTCCTAAAAAGCAAGGGTCTGGTCTGTGCTCACCTGGTTTACCTATTTGGTAGATTATTCTCAAGCCTCCCCAGGAAAGAGGGTGAAGGAGGGATATTTTAGGGAAACAGGAATGCCAAGTGGTCCTTTTCCTGAATCTTTGTCTAACTCACTTGGTGGGGGCAGCTAGTACCCATCCTAGGACAAGGATTTGTACCTTGGGGAAGTTTTTAACCTAAGCTCCTAGAAATAAGCATATGGGGTCTTTCATGTGGGTCCCCACATCTGTACCCTAGAGTTCAGCGTGGGGAGGGAACCTTGACACCAATTCCCATAAATTACTTTTAATAAACCCCAGTCCTGCAAACATTTATGCACATGCTTAACTTTAAGAGGGTGAGTAGTTCCACTGAAATCAAAGTCAAGAGGGCCAGACTCTAGGTCTAATAGTTTTCCAGTGTTTTGAAATCTCACCATACCCATGTTTGTTTGTTCGCTAATTATAGGGAGGTAGGTAGAAACTACCAGATAGTCTTTTTTACATTGTTAGCAAAAATAAATGTACAAAAGCCAGAAACTGGCAGAGTAAATTTACTTTTAAAATTAAATGCTTAGATGTTGTGGGGTGGCTGGGGAAAGGAAGTGAGTTTCAGCTGCATAAGATCACCCCGCTGATCAGCCTGGCCACCTATTAAAGTTATACACAAAAGGCTGCTTTTCACTAGGAGATGATGTTTGAGAAGAATCGAGGAAGGTAAGCAATTTGCTCAAAAGACAAAGGCCCGGGAGCGAAGGAGTCAGGGACAGTCCCTCTCCCACCTTTAGGCGCAGCGCTGCTCTTGCTCCCGCTGCACTCCATGCACGGAAGGGGCGGGCCTATGCGCGGGCGGGGCATGAAGCGCTCGCTGGGCCTATGGCAGCAAAGTTGCTGCCGCAGCCATTTTGGTTTGCTCTGAGAAGGGGCCGAAACGGTGGTGCGCCGGTCCTGGGCCGGGGGGGTCCTGCCCTGTTAGTGAGGGCGGCAGGATGCAACGCGGAAAAGCCCGGCGTCCCTGACGCGGTGAGTTCGGGCGCTCGCGCTTGCGAGTTTTGGGAGGGGGGAGATGTAACCCGTCTCGGATTGGCGCGGGACGGGGCGGAGAGAGCCTGTGGCGACCCCGTGGCTCCGGCCCGCTCCACCCCTTCCCGGCCGGTTTTTGACACACACTCTTTTCTCCTTGCAGGCGGCGGCGCTTTCCCTGGCGCCGGGGGAGATGGACTCTGGAGCCCGCCAGGGCGGTGGCGCCTTGGGACAATCCCGCGAGTATAAATTAGTGATGCTGGGAGCTGGAGGCGTGGGCAAGAGCGGTGGGTGTCTCGGGCCTGCTGGGGTGTGGCGCCCTTTGGCTCAGGAGTCGGGGGAAGAGGCTGTCCCGCGGGACGTCTCTGAGCCCTGAGGGCCGGTCGAGGTGGGGACCTCTGTCTGGCACCGTTGCGGGCGTCACTGCTGAGAGCGGTGGCTCCCATGGTGAAGAATGGGTTTGCTTGCTGCTATACTGTGGAGGTACCCACTGTGAGGGGGACAAGCTGGGTGAGGTAGTATCTTTCTGTTGGTGAGAGACAAGCTTTTGAGTTTCAGAGGAACAGCCGTGTTAGTCTGTATTCGCAAAAAGAAAAGGAGTACTTGTGGCACCTTAGAGACTAACCAATTTATTTGAGCATGAGCTTTCGTGAGCCACAGCTCACTTCATCATCTGATGAAGTGAGCTGTGGCTCACGAAAGCTCATGCTCAAATAAATTGGTTAGTCTCTAAGGTGCCACAAGTACTCCTTTTCTTTAAGCTTTTGAGTGACACAGAGCTCTTCTTCAGGCGTCAGGTTTCAGAGTAGCAGCCGTGTTAGTATGTATCCGTAAAAAGAAAAGAAGTACTTGTGGCACCTTAGAGACTAACAAATTTATTAGAGGATAAGTTTTCGTGAGCTGCAGCTTTGCTTCGTTGTAGAGACATAAGGGTTGGTTTGAGATTTTTAAAAATATATTTTTCCCCAGCTCCTACCTTTGTATTCTCAATAATTGAAAGTATATCTGTGAAAATCCTTGATTAGGATTGATTAAACTGTAATACAGCAGTCTCTGTTAAATTTGAGAGTTAATATTTGAGGAGTAAGGATCGTAAACACTGCAGAGTTCTAATATGTTGTATCTATAAGACATTGTTTAATTTAGTAAACCATTTTAAGCTGGTCGCCCTATACATGAAAATGATAGGTAATAGGTGAGAATATTGTTCAGTTACATACTGATAAGTAAGGCTGTGAGTCTGTCATGGATTCCGGCCCAATCCCTGGGCCAGCAGCATCGGCCGCACCTGCGGCAGTCTTGGTCCACCGCCCCCACGCCCAAGCAGGAGTTTGGGTGTGGAAGGGGGCTCAGGGCTGGGGCAGGGAGTTGGGGCACGGGAGGCATTTACCTCGGGTGGCTCCCCGGAAGCAGTGATATGTCCCTCGCATGGCTCCTAGGCGGAGGTGTGGCCAGGTGGCTCTGCATGCTGCCTCTGCCCGCAGGCACTGCCCCCACAGCTCTCATTGCCCATGGTTTCCAGCGAATGGGAGCTGTGGAGCCAGCGCTCAGGATGGAGGCAGCGCATGGAGCTCCCTGGCCGCGCTTCCGCCTAGGAGCCACCGCTTCCCGGGAGCTGTGCAGAGTCAGGTAGGGAGCCTGCCAGCCTCACCCGCCCTACCCCCCAGCACCAGCAGGGGTACCCTCCCCCAAGCACCCATGGCATCCCTCAGCCTTCTCCCCTCCCCCATCCCGAGCAACCACAGCGTCCCTGGGCGGTACCCCGCCCCCGAGCATCCAAGATTTTGTCAGGGCTATATAATACAAGTCATGGACAGGTCACGGGCCGTGACTTTTACTAAAAATACCTGTGACTAAAACGTAGTCTTACAGATAAGTACATTTTACCATATCACCTTTGCGATTTAGGGTGAACAAAATGTGCATTTTCCTTATGAAGTGCTCCAATTTTTAGCGAATGCCAAAATAGTATGCCAGTTGTATAATTTAAATGTTTCTGTGTAATCAGTAATTCTAAATATTTTGTCCGTTATCATGTCCCCACCTACACCTGTGAGGTTAGTCAGGACGACTGGAAATCACCTGTGTAATTGTAGTTATCCAATGTTAATTTTCAGCTATGACCATGCAGTTCATCAGCCACCGGTTCCCAGAGGACCATGATCCTACCATTGGTAAGAAAAACCTCTACAACATCTGTCTCTGTTATGCAAGTTAAAAAGTAGCTTTTGTGGAATCATTTACCATGAACTTTATACTCTAAAGAAAACCAGAAACTCAGCTGCAAGGAAAGCATTCATAATCATGTTAGTAATAGCTAGACAAGTTGTTACGAGTCCAAAGTCTGCAAAGAGGATTGTGGGCTGTGCTAGGAACAGGACTAATGGCCACATCTTTAAAGTTATTTACAGAAAATTCTGCGCATACAACGTTAATTTCTGCACAAATTCTGCATTGCGCAGTGGTGCAGAATTCCACCAGGAGTAAACAGCAGGTACTATAAAGTTAGACATTTTAAAATCAGCAAGTCTGGATAACTTTCATCCAAGAATTTTAAAAGAGCTCTCTGAGGAGCTCGCTGGACCATTCATGTTGATTTTAATTAAATTGTATAACAGTAGGGAAGTTCCAGAAGTCTGCAAGAAAGCTAATGTTGTGCCAGTATTTAAATGGGATGATATGCATAATTATAGGTTAATCAGTCTGACATCAATCCTGGGCAAGGTAATGGAACAGATGGTATGGGAGTTTAAATAGTCTATAATGAATGCCAGTCAACATGAGCTTATGGAAAATAGATCCTGTCCAACTAACTTGGTATCTTTTTTGATGAGATTACAAGATTGGTTGATAAAGGTAATAGTTTAAGCTCATGCCTCTCAACATTTTTATTAAAAAAAAATAGAGCAGTACAAAGTTAACATGGCACACACTGAATGGATTAAAAGCTGGCAAACTGTTAGGTCTGAAAATGTAATTGTAAATGGGGAATCCTGACTGAGCACGTGTGTTTCTAGTAGGCTTCTGCAGGGATCTGTTCTTGGCCCTGTGCTATTTAGCATTTTTAGCAGCGACCTGGAAGAAAACAAAATAATCACTGATAAAGTTGGCTCATGATACAAATTGGGTGAGTGGTAAACAATGAAGAGGACACTAATACAGAGTGATCTGGATCACTTCGTAAACTGGGCACAAGCATACCATGTGTTTTAGTACGGCTAAATGTATATAGGTAATCTAGGGGACAAATATTGTAGGTCACACTCTCAGAATGGGAGACTCTATCTTGAGTAGCAGTGACTCTAAAAAAGATTTGGGTGTCATTCTGGATAATCAGCTGATGAACATGAGCTTTCAGTTCAATGCTTTGGCCAAAAGGGCTAATGTGATCCTGCAGTGCATAAAGAGTGGAAACTTGAGTACAAGTAAAGAAGTTATTTAACTTGTATTTGGCACTGGTGTCGCTGCTGGAATACTGTATCCCGACCTGGCTTCCACAATTCAAGGAGAATGTTGAAAAATTGGAGAGAGTTCATGGAAGAGCAATGAGATTCATGGGAATTAGAAACATGGATTATAGTGATAAACCAATATAAGTAGGTCAATTTAGCTTAATAAAGAGAATCTTAAGGGATAACCTGATTAATCCATTTGTTCTCTGCGTGAAGAACAAATAATTAATAATAGGTTCTTCAATCTAGCAGATAAATGTATAAAACAATCCAATGGTTGGAAGTTGAACCTAGACAAATTCATGCTGGAAATGAGGTGTACATTTTTGGAGCAATTTATAAGGTTCATGGTGGATTCTCCATCACTGATCATTTTTTAAATCAAGATTGGAAGCTTTTTTTAAAAGATGTACTCTAAGAATTATTTTGTGGAATTTCTATGGCCTATGTTGTTCAGGAGGTCAGACCAGAAAGATGATCACAATGGTCCCTTCTGGCTTTGGAATCTATGAATCAATTTCTCCATCTGTAAAATGGAGGTGGTGATACTTTATCTCCCTGTAAGTATTTTGAGATCTTCTGGTGAAAAGTGCTATATAAGAGCTAGGTATTATTAAATACTTGCAGAAAAAGTTAAAAGACTAAGATAAGTTAACTACCAGTCACAATTAACAGACTAATAACAAAAATAAGACCTCTTGATGGCCATCAACTCTTCTGTCATACCATTTTTGCTGTGCAGTGTGATAGTTTCAGTCGTACATTATTGCCTTTGTATCCTTTTGTTATTGCTACTTTTTATAAATGTGCGGCAGATTAAAAGAAGGAAGAGAGTAACTACCCAAAATGCTTCTGTTAGCTAAATTATCTCTTGTGTGTTCCATTTGATTTTCCCACGTCTTTTGTCGAAATTATGAATCAACAGATTTACCCTTCCACATACAAACCAGGAGAACTAGAAGAGCAAGCAACCTTAACTTTTCTTTAGTAGGTGACTCTAGAGGCATACATTCTTGAATTTTAGTCATTTAAAACAGCAATTCTCAAGTGGGGGGTCCATGAGCCCTTTCAGGGAGTCCGTGGAGCCCGAGCCCTAATGGCCCCACGGGACTGAAGCTGGGAGACGTGGAGCTGAAGCCCCAATTCTCAGCGCCCCCCGTGGGGCTGAAGCCAGGAGGCTGCGGGGTTGAATCCTGGAGCCCCAAGCATGGGTGCTCCCTGTGGGGTAGAAGCCCTGAGCCGAGTTGGGAACTGGAGGGCATTGCAAGAGCAGGGCAGTCTGGGGGGCAGTTCCACACCTTCCCCCGCCCACCCCCCATTTCCTCTCCCCGTTGCCTGGCCAGGTCAGCGGCAGGAAGCCAGAACCAGGCAGTGCGGGGCAGCTGCTGCTCTGGCTGGTGCCATGGAGCAGGCAGCAGCAGTGTTCTCTCATCTCCTGCTGGTGCCTCAGGTTGAAGCTGCTCCTCAGCTGCCAGCCCCCTTTGCTCCCGCAGAGGCACCCGGTAAGAGCGGCCTGAGTGAGGAGACCCGGCTCCATGGCTGGCAGACCCCTCCGGGAACAGGGGCTGCAGGGGAGCCCTCCCAGCACACATCCCCTAATACCTCCCTCCCTGCACCCTGAGTTACCCCCTGCCCACACACAGCCCCTAGTACCCTTCTCCCTGAGCTACCCCCCTGCCTGCACACAGCCCCTAGCTACCCCCTCCCTGCACCCTAAGCTGTTTTCAAACTTTTTGATGTAAGCCCCCCACCTTTGAGTTACAATTTGTAGGTTCCCTCCTCCTCAACAGGCTGAGTGGCCTGCTGAGGTGAATCGGGGTGGAGGTGGCACTCCTCCCTGGATCCCACCATGCAGAGGTGGCTCTAGTCCAGGGGAGGGCAAAGTTCGGCCCATGGGCTGGATCCAGCCTGTCTGGGCTTTCAGTCCAGCCCACAGGATTGCCAGCCCCGTGGCGCAACAGGACTAAGGCAGACTCCCTGCCTGCCCTGGCCCCACACCGCTCACAGAAGCGGCCAGCACCATGTACCTGTGGCCCCTGGGGAATGGGGGGGCAGAGGGCTTCATGCACTGCCCTTGCCTCCAAGCACTGCCCTCCGCAGCTCCCATTGGCCGGGAACGGGGAACAGTGGCCAATGGGAGCTTCAGGGGTAGTACTAGTATGTGAGGGCAGTATGCGGCGGAGCAACTGCAGGACATGCTGGCCACTTCCAGGAGCTCGCCACTTCCACAGCTTGCCTTAGCCCTGCTGCCACCCTGGAGCTGCTCGAGGTGAGAGGCACTGGGCCGGAGGCTGCACCCCAACCCCCTGCCTTGAGCCCCTTCCTGCAGTCCTCACCCCCTCCTGCACCTCAACCCCCTGCCCCAGCCCTACATTCATGGCCCTGCATACAATTTCCCCACCCAGATGTGGCCCTCGGGCCAAAAAGTTTGCCCACCCCTTCTCTAGTCTGACCAGTTACTTGTTTTCAAGAAGCTTTATCTCTCTCCCACTACTTTTTACCCCGCCCCTCTCAAGGCAACACTAACTTCTGTGCTGAGAGAACTTGCCTCAGCAACGAAAATATTCCAAACCAGTATCTACAAAGCACCATGCATGGGCGACAGGTGAACCCAGGGCTCAGGGAGGCTAGTCCCCGTCCCGGACCATCCCTTCTGCCCGAGGTCCTGCCCCTCCCGCCGGAGCCCAGAGTCCTGTTTCCCCCCCATCCTGGCATGGCAGGCAGCTCCCCTCTTCCCCCCTCCCCAGCCTGAGCGCCACCAGCCCCAGAGCGCTGGGCGGTGAGCTGGTGGCATGCCCCACCCCAGCCCCAAAGTGTTGGGCTGGTGAGCAGGTGGTGTGGCTCAGCCATGGCGTGCCTGGAAGGTGGCGCAGCCTCCCTCCCCCAGCCCCGGAGTGCAGGCCGGCCCCCATTAGTCCCGCAGCCTGGGACTCTGGCCACCAGGGGGGGAAGAGTCCCCCACAGCGCACAGCCGAGGAACGGGAAGCAGGAAAGGGCCTGGGGGTGGAGCATGGCCAGGGCCATGCAAGGCGGTTTGGGGAGGCACAGCCTTTGATACCCACCACCCATGGCACCATGATTTTTCAAAATCCTGTAGGATATCACTGTTATTTTTTATTTGCATTACTGTGGCACGTAGGAGCCTTAGCCATGGATCAGGAACTTCTGCAATCTTTGTCTCCAAATAAAGTGTTGTTGTTAGTTTTGAGATCTGACTGTTTTATTCAGTCTACATCTTTTGGAGTTTTCACTCAGCCCATTAGTCACGATAGGAGAATCTGATCTAACGAAAAGGAGAACTTGCTTTTCTATTCAGGTTCTTATAGCGTGCCCATGACGGTAACAACTGAGCACCTTTTGGTGACTTTTTTTTAATTGGGTTAGTTTAGTTTGGAGGGAAAGATCGGTTTCTTTCTAAGGCATGGTCTACACCTGAAACTCGGGTCAGCCAAGCTATGTCTCACAGGACTGTGAAAAATTTCATGCCCTATGCAACATATTTAGGATGACTTAACCTCCATTGTAGACGCAGTTAGGTTGACGGAAGAATTATTTCATCAAATTAGCTACTGCCTCACAAGGGGGTGATTTTACAATGGTGACAGAAACACCCCTTCCGTTGCTGTAGTCAGTGTCTACACTACAGTGGCATAGTTGTGCTTGTTGTGTTGACATACTCTTAGTAATTTATCCTGTTTTAGGAAATTGGCAGTGCTATTGGTGGCTGCCATTAGGATTATTTTATTTGTCTGCCTGTTCGCCTCAGTTGAGAAAGGCCCATTAGTCTGAGAGAGCATATGTCTTTATTAAGGTACACAAAACTGAATTCTTACATTATTAAAATTGATTTTATAACGTATTTTCTGTTGCTTTATATCAAATGCTCAGTAGTAGTATTTCGTTGTATGCATGAGATAGGTACTGCAATTTTACTGAACTTCTGTTACCCCCATCCCTCTTCTTCTAAATCCACAGAAGATGCTTATAAAATACGAATACGGATTGATGATGAACCTGCAAATTTGGACATTTTGGACACAGCAGGACAGGTATGTGAGCAATAAAAATATGAATAGGATGGAACTAATGGCCAGGCATATTCACAGAGATCCTTTAACAATGTATTGTCTGTCTCTGTCTTTTCTTTGTTCTAGTTTTGTCTTCGGAATTATCCCATTTCCCCAACATATTGTATTTGTTTTGTACCCTGCTTTATTGTTTCCCCATTTTTCCATTGTTCTTTTTTTATACATAATATGTACAAACTAAGAGCTGCCAGCATTCTTACCCATTCCCTGAAGCAACAGAAACTCATGCCTTTCATTTGCTTCGTATATTGGTCCCAAATTTTCACAATATTTTGTTTGATGCATTAAAAATAGGAAGAAAACAAATGTTCATAACGTTCTTTTAACTGTGACTGCTACATGTTGCACTTTTAGTTGTGTATTTCAGGTGTTTAAGTAATATTTCACATAGGGAGAATCCATAAAATCTCCAGTTTTTTCCAATGGACCATGTGTGGCATAAGCAAACCAGTATGTTGCGTGGCATATAGCTGTTGTTAGAATGGAAAGAGGGCTGCCAGTGACTAGATGATCAATAGCTGCTGAGCTTGTACAAGAATTGAAATATAACTTTCTTTCTAGGCAGAGTTTACAGCCATGCGGGACCAGTACATGAGGGCAGGTGAGGGATTTATCATCTGTTATTCAATCACGGACCGCCGCAGTTTTCATGAAGTGCGTGAGTTCAAACAGCTCATCTACCGTGTTCGGCGCACTGATGACACTCCTGTGGTTCTTGTGGGGAACAAATCTGATCTGACGCTGCTACGACAGGTAAACTACGCAAAGGAGTTCAGGAGGTATATATGTTAAAACTAGGGCTGCCTGTCAAGCAATTAAAAATATTAATCACGCTGTTAAACAATACTAGAATACCATTTATTTTAATACTTTTGGATATTTTCAACATTTTCAAATATATTCATTTCAGTTACAACACAGAATACAAAGTGCACAGTGCTCACTTTATATTTTTTATTACATGTATTTGCACTGTAAAAAAACAAAAAATAGCATTTATCAATACACCTAATACAAGTATTGTAGTGCAATCTCTTTATCATGAAAGTAGAACTTACAAATATAGAATTATATACAAAAAACTGCATTCAAAAATAAAACAGTGTAAAATTTTAGAGCCTGCAAGTCCGTTAAGTCCTACTTCTTGTTCAGCCAGTTGCTCAGACAAGCAAGTTTGTTTACATTTGCAGGAGATAATTCTGCCCGCTTCTTGTTTACAGTGTCACCACTAGTGAGAACAGGCGTTCTTATGGCACTGTTGAAGCTGGCCTCACAAGATATTTACGTGCCAGATGCGCTAAAGATTCATATGTCCCTTCATGCTTCAGCCACTATTCCAGGGGACATGCATCCATGCTGATGACAGGTTCTGCTTGATAACAGTCCAAAGCAGTGCGGACGGATGCATGTTTATTTTCATTATCTGAATCAGTTGCCACCAGCAGAAGGTTGATTTTCTTTTTTGGTGGTTCAGGTTCTGTAGTTTCTACATTGGAGTGTTGCTCTTTTAAGACTTCTGAAAGCATGCTCCACACCTCATCCCTCTCAGCCTTTTGTAAGGCACTTCAGATTCTTAAACCTTGGGTTGAGTGCTGTAGCTATCTTTAGAAATCTCACATTGGTACCTTCTTTGCGTTTTGTCAAATGTGCAGTGAAAGTGTTCTTGAAATGATCAAAGTGCTGGGTCATCATCCTAGACTGCTATAACATGAAATATATGGCAGAATTCAGGTAAAACAGAGCCGGGGACATACAATTCTCCCCCAAAGAGTTAAGTCACAAATTTAATTAACACATTATTTTTTTAACGAGCGTCATCAGCATGGAAGCATGTCTTCTGGAATGGTGGCTGAAGCATGAAGAGGCATACGAATGTTTAGCATATCTGGCATGTAAATACCTTGCAGTGCTGTCTTCAAAAGTGCAATGTGAATGTGTGTTCTCACTTTCTGGTGAAGTAAATAAGAAGAGGGCAGCATTATCTCCTGTAAATGTAAATAAACTTGTTTGTCTTAGCGATTGGCTGCACAAGAACTAGAACTGAGTGGACTTGTAGGCTCTGAAGTTTTACATTTTTTGTTTTTGACTGCAGTTATGTAACAAAAACATTCTACATTTGTAAGTTGCACTTTCACAATAAAGAGATTGCACTACAGTACTCCATGAGGTGAATTGAAAAATACTGTATCTTTTGTTTATCATTTTTACCGTGCAAATATTTGTAATAAATATACGCTTTGATTTCAGTTAAAACACAGAATACTATATATGAAAATGTAGAAAAACATCCAACATATTTAATAAATTTCAATTAGTATTGTTTAACAGTGCAATTAAAACTACGATTAATTTTTTTGAGTTAATCGCATGAGTTAACTGCCCTACTTAAAACATAATGTTATGGTTTATTCTAAGTGTATTTGCTTATTCCTTTTTCTTGAATTACGTTTTTTGCTCTTGGTTTAATGGTTAAAATAAATGTAATATTTGTATTAATAATGTTGAAAGAGGGATGTGATGCAATGGTGGTAAGCACAGAATGCAGGATCTCTAAAATGCATGTAGTTTTATTATAGAATAGTAATATCAAAAGTAAAGTTAATAGACATGACATAATCTCAAACTCATCAGTTTTCAGCTTTGAAAACCTGGGTGTTTGCCACTAGAATTTCTAACCCTCAACTCCCGTTATGTTCTTCATTTCTCTTATCCTGAAATGAGAGTGCATCTGCACAGGGCATTAAACAGCACTTGAACAAACTTTGCAAATAGTAATACATTAGGAAGGGTTGTGAGTACATTGAGAAAAGAGAAATAATAAAAGGTGATTTAGAAAGGGCAGAAAATAAAATAAGATTCAACTTGGGAAAGTGTTAGCTAGAACATTTGGGGAAGAATAATCCAAAATACAGATTCACTGTGAGGGGAAAAAATCTGGCAAATAGTAACCCTGAAATAGACCACAGGTAGTGGTTGCACAGGAAATTGAGTTTCCAATGTGATATGAGAGCAAAATGCCATGGACATAGTTGGATCTATATGCTGAGGAGTCATATCACAGGACAGGGAATCAACAGTCCCTTCATATGGCTCCAGTGAGCCCACATTCTGAAATGTTGTGCTCCGTTCTGGGAGGAAAGATGGACAAATTGGATGGCGTTCAGAGAAAACCACCAAAAATCGCAGGTGGTGACTGATGTGAAGAAATGCAGTGGACCCTCGCTAGAGGGTGCGTCGCTGTAGCGCGGCTTCGCATATAGCGCAGTCATGGCAATGGATCCCAAACCCCGCGTTCTATCCAGTGTATAACTTTCGTATTGACAACTTGGGGAGGTTGCATGTTGCCTTCAGATAGTTGCAGGTTTAACACCAACAAGGGAGGTTAATTATTTGATAAAAGGGTGTTTAAATATGAAATGAGATAAAATTATAAATGGAAAAAAATTAGTCTCAATATCTGTAAAATCATCCCGACTAAAATGTTTTAGACAGTGGAATAGTTGCCACAGGAACGTGGTTGAAGTGCCATAATTTTGGACAAAAGGCTATAAAACCTGCAGTAGAAGAACACTCTTACGCTGACAGGGAAATGGATTAATTGTGACCTAATACATGTCTTGTCATTCCACCTCAACAATTGTTCTCATTTGTTTTTATTAATTTTTCAGGTTTTGAAAGATTAATAATTTGTTTGCATATAGTGCTATTAAATCCCTATTCTGTTTATTACTTATATAGTGCCAAAGGTGTACACATTATTTACAAATGCAGATTATGACCCAGTCCATACCTCAAGGAGCTGGATGTCTTATGGATATAGGATGCAGTACAAATGTTTAAAAGATCAGGTGAATGACTAGGAGTAAACAAAAGTTTAGAGAAAAGTGGATTTTAGGGAGAGATTTCAGAGAGATGCATGGAAAGGGGATGTTCCAAAGGAGCAGGTAATGTGAAAGAATGCACATGGTTAAGACTGAGAGGAACAGGCAAAGGGAGCAGAAAGGGGGAAGGAATGAACACTTTTGCTTTGTTGACAAATATGTACTTCGTTGAAGGTCTCCAAAGAAGAAGGCTCAGCTTTAGCACGAGAATTCAGCTGCCCTTTTTTTGAAACTTCAGCCGCGTTCCGCTATTATATCGATGATGTATTTCATGCTCTCGTGCGAGAAATCCGTAGGAAAGAGAAGGAAGCAGTAATGGCCCTGGAAAAAAAATCCAAACCCAAAAGCAGCGTGTGGAAAAGACTAAAGTCACCGTTCCGAAAGAAGAAAGATTCAGTGACCTGAAATGGGGGGGCGGGGGGCGCGCACTGTGTGGTGTATCTGTCAAACTGTGAACTGGAATATGTAATCAGAGCAGTCCAGTGACCTACATTTTGAGCATCATGCTTTTTTCTCTATTTTTTTGACTATTTTAAAAGGAAATCTAACTATTGGGAGTTTTGAGGGGGCTGCGATTTACATTGTTGTTTAAAGTAATCTTTCCCCAATTTCAGAACATTTGGTCTATGACACAGCAGTGGGTTTTACTTTTGTTTACTGTCACTTTCTGACTTGGATCCTGCAAATGTCATTGACGTAGTTGGTTGAAAATGCTGTTACCTATGTTCCTGCACTTTTGAATGTTTGTCTTAAGGGATCTCAGCAAAATGAAAACTGAACCATGTAGAATGTCTTTGAACTTTTACTTAGAGCCTAACTTAGTTAAGTCTTTTTTTTTTTTTTTTTTTTTTCCCCCCTTCCCCTGGAGGATTGCACAACAAAGTTTGCTGCTTTCTGAAAAAGTAATTCACAATGTATGAGAAGGCTTGTCAAGATCAGTGTTATGTTTGTGAAGCACATGTAGCAGACTAATGGAACAAACTGCATGCATATGTCAGTGAGAAGAACTCATGTTGAAATTGCTTTTTGTTCTGATTGTGCATTTTTCCAACAAACGAGTAATGATTGACTCCATGTGCATGTTTATCTAAAAGTAATTATAAGAAACCAGTGTAATGCAACAGTATAGTTTAGATTTTAAACAAGTCAGGAAAATTAAAATTATGATTCCCAAGGCAGCCATAACTTGAGAATATTTCATGAGTATGTAGCATTTTCTTAATGTATATAGTGTGTTCTTGTACTGCCATAGGATAGTATGTGCAATGTGATAAAGTTGCAGGGGCTCTAGGAAACTAGAGCTTTGACTTTCCTGGCTTGCATGCTTAAAATCTTATCTGTAATGTTGCATTAGCTTATGTATTTGCATAAAATTTTACATTCTTTTCTTAAAGAAGCCAATATTGTTAAATTGCAGTCTCAAACACAGTTTTATTACAGATTTTTTTTTTATGCTTTGAGGCTCTGTACCCGACATTGCACTGTGTTGTAGAGAGAGAGTGTAAAATCAGAGATTACTGGCAATGGGACTTAGCAGAAATAACTCCAAACCTGGTGAGACTCTTCCATTGCAGGTAGGTGGGGAGATGAGGGGGAAAAGGTCCTGAGAATGATATACACGGATATCCCTACATATACACAAACTCAAGTGGGTATATATAGCTATTTGTGCCCAGTGATCACTTACGCTGGTTAGGAAGCTGGTGTTTTGTCAAGCACATTTTTTAAATGGTGCAAATTAAATGTTCCTCATGAAGGACTATATATATGTCAGTTATGAAGATTTTTAATCTAGAGTTTATTCAAGTATAAAAATAGCATGAAAGATTGATTTTTTTTTTTAAGTAACTTAATTCACATAGGTAACTCAGAAATGGCAAGAGAAAATTTAGGCTAAACATAATTTCTCAAAAAATCAAATACTAAAAACTGGAATTTAAAACGAAAGTGCTTCCTTGCCCACAAATATAGTATCACAACTGTATTCTATGATTGGTTTTGTCAGTTAAGTTGGCCATACTGGGTTGGTGTCAGATCTGTATTCTCAGCCTTAGTTTGACATACATGATCATTGTACGTTCAGAGTTGGAATGCAGAGATGTTAAGATTTGTGTATAAGGGATCCAATGAAAGCAACAAATAGGGCAAATGGGTGAGCCCTCATGCTTTCCTTCACGAAACTGCTTAGCTTTTCCTGTTCCTTTGCGAACAGCATCATAGGAAATGAAAGCTTTTTAAGTTTGATTTTTTGTGTAGGAAATTGGAGAAACTGATATAGAATTTTCTGGGTTTTTGTTTGTTTTTGTTTTTATACTTTTTTAAAACTGTGCACCTGCACAACAAAGTTGTATAAATCAGTTTATGGGTTCTTTCTTATAAAGTTCCATTGCAAATCCACCTGTGTTGTGCTGTGCTGTGCCACAATCCATTACATGGAAAAAGTAGCTGAAAATAATCTAGAACATTTAGAATGTATTTTACTTGTTTGTTGCAGTGTAAGATGAAAGAGTTTGGTAAAATTAACTTCATGAGCAATGTTGCATACCTTTACCATAGCTACTGATTTAGAAATTAAGGCCCTAATAGTTATTCGGTATTGGAGTAAGTACTGTCTATAACCATGAGATAAAAATCCCGGGTAAGCCACACAACAGAAAACATCCGTGAAAAAATATAGAAATAGTGCACACACACAAAAAGGCTGTTTCTAATTAAAAGATGAGACAAAACCAGCTTTCTCTAAAAGTTAAACAGCATTTTAATTCATACTTCTTTTCAAGGATAGAAACTTGACTTGAACTTCTACTCAGCTACTACTATGTTCAAAACTTGCAGGCATTAACAAGACATAACCTGTGAGCAGCGATGAAAGCTAATGGGGCTAATCCTATTTTTGCCTTCTGATAAATGGTGGGATTTCTGTGCCTTAAATTAGCCCTTTAACAAATTCAATGTTTAGTGATTCCATTTGAGCCTGTTGCTTGTGGAATTAATAAATCTGAATAGCAAGCACTTTTTTACACAATGTTATTCAAGAAGATTGTTTTATTTTTGTCATGTATACATTTGTACACAAAGAAATGATTTTCATTTTGACACAATACAGAATTTTTAATTAAATTTTCGTATTTTATGTTTTAATCCTAGGTGCCTAAGACTGTCAATAGAAAATATTGCGGCTGGGGGCTCAGAAATAAACAAAGTTTGTAGTATGCTCATAACTTCTGGTGGATTTAGCTTACTAGCTGGAGGCTTAGAAGGTGAGCTGTAAAACTAAATAACCATTTAAAAGATGCAAGGATAAGAAGTACCATAAGAAGAGTTTGATGCTACCACCTGCTTAAGATTGTGAGAGAATTTTCATTAATATAATAGTTCAGACTGGTATGTACTATATAAGAGTCTTTGAGTTGCCATGTTTTGACTTTTAGGATTGGGAAGATAATGGTGTTTAGAAGGGTAAGCAGCTAAACTTTGTCTGGAAAACTTGATATCATACAGGAGAACTTAATCCTGTATTTCCCATTGTATAGTTTTCTTTGTGTATTATTTGCACTTAGTTTTTACTAGCTAACAATGGGGCAACTGTTTTGATACCCTTTTAAAAAAAGCAGGTTAATATCCTTTTTTTTTTTTAATTGAAGCTATTGTATGACTCTTAACTTTTTAAAAACATCGTCCTCCACCAGTTTACAAGGTTTATTATTTAATCTGAATTTTTTTGTTTTATGATAGATGAAAGGAAACTATAATCACCTTTTTTGTGTTGATAATCTGGGCTGGTTCTATCTGCACCCGTCTGATCCATATGAGCTCTCAAGTCCTCAGCCCTTCAGTTAGGCAGACGCCAGTGTTCCATGGTTAAAGTAGCATGAGGGATTTATGTAACAAGCATTTGTCTTCCTATTTTATTCTATAGAAGTTCTTCTACCAATCTTAACATGATAGTATGAGTGCCAGTAGCGCATTAAGCTACATGGCACATATCTGTCATGTGGTTCGCTTTCTCTAATACACTGTTGTGTGCAGTGTACTGTTTGGAGTTTTAAAATAAATATATAAATGTGTTCATATTAAAGAAAGCAAAGTAAATGTAGTGTACTTTGCACAGGCAGAAGAAGATAGTAAAGTTTGTGATAGTTCTTCGATCTGGTGGGAATTTGTTCAGCAATTTGAGCACCTTCTGAGAAAGTACCCTATCTCCTGCATAGACATTTTTTACTCTTGTGGTAGAAAATTCTACTGTGCTGAAGCAGCAGAGTTGTTAACTATAGTCCTTATCCCAAAGCTTTAGGTGATCTAGATATCCTGGGCCGTGGCAATTGTACACCTTGAAGACAAGGATAGAGACCTTGAACTTGACTCAGTATTCTATATAGAAAGCCAATGTAGAGAGCAGAGGCTAGATTTGGTGTGCTTGCAGTAGTTCGTCTTTGAGTGCTTGTTCACGTCCATTCCAGTTAAGTGTGCGCGCGTCATGTGCACGGACGTCAGAAACTTTTTACCTTAGCAGCCCCCGTTGGGACGGCAGGGGAGCCCCCTAGAGTGGTGCCCTTATGACGGTGTATACAGTACCCTTCTGGCCCAACCCTCTTTCAGTTCCTTCTTATCGTCCGTGACAGCGTTGGAATATGCTCTCTCACTTGCGAGTGATCCCTTATCAATTTAGTCTTTCTAGTTAGAGTTGTTCTTAGATAGTTTTACAACTTAGTTAGATACAGTTTTTAGTTACAGGCGTCTGAGAGTTAGTTCCAGCACCAGTCTTGGGCTGTGGAGGATGCCGCAAGCCCAGAGGTTTAAAGCTTGCGCCACCTGTCTCAAGCCTATGCCCAACAGCGACCCCCACGACTCCTGCCTTCGTTGTCTTGGGGAAGTGCATCAGGCTGAGCGCTGCAAAATTTTCTAGGCTTTCAAGTCACACACAAAGAAAGAAAGAGACTTTTGTCTTAAGCAGCTGCTCATGGAGGCCGCGTTGCAACCAGCGGCCCCAGACCGCCCGGTACCAGGCCTGAGCTCCTCGGTGAGAAGTGCCGCAGCATTGGTGCACGACTCAGCACTGCCCAGGCATCATAAATTGCTGGCAGCGAGACGGGCTGACCAGCCCTGGCACTGCTCGACCTCTCTGACACTGACAAGCACGATAAGGGGGAAAGAAGACGTTCCCCTCAAAGAGCAACCAAGACGCCCAGAGAGGCCCCTAGCACTCAGAGACAGGACTTGGGTCCCCTCCAGGGGCTGGCACTGTTGACTCTGGCGCCCAGCGACTCCAGCGCTGATGAATGTCTTGAGGAGGTCTTAGAACCCCCCTCCATGCCTGACACATTTGAGGCAGCAAAAGATCTCTTAGAACTGTCAACGCCAAATCCCCTCCCTTGCAGGGAGAAGCCTCTGGCATCGCCAAGGCGGGTGCTGTTCAAAGGAAAACCAGCAATGATGCGCTGCTCAAGGTCACCAATCCGGCACCGCTCATGACACCGCTCCTGTTCGAGCTCGGCACAGCACCACTTCCTGGCACCCATGACCCAATACGAGGTTACGGCACCCTCATCGAGGACTCGATGCCATTCCACGACGCCATCGGTTGCTCGGCACTGGGACTCAGTGCCAACCACTTCCTTGGCACCACATGTGCGAGACCGATCCAGGTCTCGGGATAGCTGGCACCGTTCGCGGTCCCAGTCATCTCAGTACCAGTCCCTGACCTGCACCTCATGGCACCCCACAGCCGCCCAAGGATCGGCACCACCTTGGTCCTCTCCTTCGGCCTCCTCTGTCTCCGAAGCCGATTCCAGTCGCTCTAGCTACAGCAGGCACCAGACCATGACCAGCAAAGAGTCCCACACAGCGTGGCAGCCGCAGTGGCCTCTTCTGGGGCAGTGGCCATTCTGGACCCCATATGCCTACCACCACCAACGGCACCCTTTCTAGAGCTTCTAGATCCGGGCACTCAACGAGACGCCACTCAAGGTTTCCATATAGGCACACCTCGAGGACAAAAGAGGCCATGCTCTCTCGGCCACCCTCGGATCCCCTGGAGCAGCCTACAGCGACAGGTCTGTTGCCGAAGCAGACTACGTCTCAGGAGGGAGCTATCTTCTCAGGCCCCGACACCTCCCAAGGCTATGAGGAATTACAGGAAGGCCAGGACGATGGCAACCAGCCCCAGATGAAGTAGTGGCAGGTACATCAGTTTCAGGACCAACACTGCTTGACCATAGGGCCCACCAAGAGCTTCTCCGCCGAATTGCCCTCAACATGGGCCTTCAGATGTAAGAGACTGTCGAGCCGGAGGATCCCCTGGTTGACATCCTGGCTCCAGAAGATCCCTCCAGAGTCGCACTACCTCTGATTAAGACCATCCAGAGCAACTACAAGACTATCTGGCAAACCCCGGCCTCGATTACACCGATGGCCAGGGGGGTGGAAAGGAAATTTTTTGCCCCATCCAAGGGCTACAAGTTCTTGTTTTCCCGCCCTGCTCCCTGGTCGTTTCAGCTGTAAACGAGAAGGAACGCCAGGATCAATAAGCCTGGGCTCTGAAAGCCAAAGAGGCCAAATGCTTAGACCTCTTCAGTAGGAAGGTATACTCATCAGGAGGCCTCCAACTTTGCACAGCCAACCAATAGGCGATCCTTAACAGTTTCAACTCTTGGAACGCTATGTCCAAGTTTAAGGATTGCCTGCTGCAGGACTTACACCCAGAGTTCGCTGCGCTAATCCAGGAAGGGAAAGCTGTAGCCAAAACATCGCTGCAAGCCTCCCTCGATTCGGCTGACTCTGCAGTCAGAATGATAGCCTCAGGAGTGGTTATGAGGCGTTCAGGGTGGCTGCAGGCGTCTGACCTCCCTCCCGAGGTCCAAAACACCCTGCAAGACCTCCCCTTCAAGGGCTCAGGCCTCTTTTCCAAGCAAACTGACTCCAGACTGCACAGCCTTAAGGATTCCGGGGCCACAGTGAAATCACTGGGGATGCATACACGAGCAACCCAGAGGAAGCCCTTCAGGCTGCAGCCTCCGCAGCAGAGGCAGTATCAACCTCACCCCAGACAAGACCTGTATCACAGGCGAGGCAGAAATAACAGGCGTAGGCTGTCCAATAATATACCTAACCAAGGCCAGAATAAGCCCAAGCAAGGGTTTTGAAGGCACACACAAGGAGAATCTACCAACCCAGTTCCAAGATCAATCCCCCGTTTTTTAAACTGGCTATCCCACTTCTACCATGCATGGTCCCGTATAACTTCGGACCGCTGGGTCCTACGCATGGTACAGGTGGGATACTCCCTCCAGTTCTCCTCCTTCCCTCGCTCCCACTCCTCTTCAAGGACCCCTCTCATGAGCAACTCCTCATGCAGGAGGTCCATTCACTCCTCGATATAGGGGCGGTGGAGGAGGCTCCCCAGGAGCTAAGGGGAAACGGGTACAACTCCTGTTACTTCCTAATCCTCAAGGCAAAGGGGAGTCTCTGACCCATTCTAGACCTTTGCAGACTCAACAAATTTATGGTCAAGCTCCAGTTCCGCATGGTCTCCCTAAGCACTATCATCCTGTCTCTGGATCCAGGAGATTGGTACGCTGCCCTCGACATGAAGGATGCCTATTTCCATGTTGCCATCCATCCGGCACACAAATACTTCCTCTGGTTTGTAATACACTAAGAGTACTACTGGTTCACGGTAGTCCAGTTCGGCCTGTCCAGGCCTTCCCACGTGTTCACCAAGTGCATGGCGGTTGTAGTGGCCTTTTTGCACAAAAGACACATTCGAGTGTACCCATACCTCGACGACTGGCTTCTGACAGGACGATCCAAAGATCGGGTACAGTCCTGTGTGACACTTGTCAGGGACACCTTTCACAGACTTCAGAGTAACAGCCGTGTTAGTCTGTATTCGCAGAAAGAAAAGGAGTACTTGTGGCACCTTAGAGACTAATTTATTTGAGCATAAGCTTTCGTGAGCTACAGCTCACTTCATCGGATGCATGCTGTGGAAAGTGTAGAAGATCTTATTATATACACACAAAAAGCATGAAAAAATACCTCCTCCCACCCCACTCTCCTGCTGGTAATAGCTTATCTAAAGTGATCACTCTCCTTACATTGTGTATGATAATCAAGGTGGG